TGTTTGTCATAATCTCTTGAACATTTTATCACCATAGCTGGCCTTTGTGAAAAAGAAGATTCTTATGGAGTCTGGTTGAATAATTTTTTTTCCTTTTGTTTTCATGTATAAATTTGCTGGTCATGAGAGCATGACATTTAAGTAATTCTGTTATCGAAAAAGTATCACAAGTGAAATGAGATGGGAGGTCCTTTTCACTGTGTATGGTATGTAATTTGAACAACTCAACTTTGTTCTTTTGTTGAGCAACATGCTTATTAGAGGTGAGTCCAAGTGCCATGAGAGGCAAACTTATGACCCATAAAAAGATTAAAAGGAGTCAATATGACATAGGAAAGATCAGTTGACAGCATTAAGGGTTTTGAAAGAAATCCATACTTTAAACTTTTAAGCAGAAAGCTCTGGAGTTTTATGTATGTGTTTGGCCTAAATATTAATACGCCGAATCCAACACAATTGGGAGGAGGAAATGGGAGCCCGATCCACAAACTGAGAAGGAGCAATGCCTAGAGATTAGTGAAATGGCGCGTTTCACAAGAACCGAGACCTTGCAAGGCCATGACCCCACTATCTCCTAAAAACGTGGACCACCTTCTATATGTGTGGAACCCCTACCTCTTTTGAGTGGAGCGAATAGTTACTCCCACCACATAGCAGGTAAAATACAAATTCAAACAGAGAGCAGCTGCACTCATATGATAAAGGAGGCAAATGTACAAAGAAGCATCATCACTTGATCAACCAAACACTCAGATTCCCTAACAGTCACATTTCTCCTAGTGCCATCTTTTCTAATCTAGGCCACTAGATCCTCTACTTTATTTTCAGACTCCGGTCACCAGAAGCACAACATTCCTTCACATTGTACCCGGCCTTTCTCAATCAATGCAATCTACTTCCTGTTGCACAATCTCAGACTAACCACTCACTTAGCATAGTCAATCCAAGGAAATTGTGATAAAGGACCTTGGGAGCTCACAATCGCTAGTTCTCACATTGAGGAGTCACTCCTCTGGCACTCCTAGCATGTGTAAAGGGCATGACGCTCCTGTTTTACACCAACAGTATGAATGTAGGATCAAATAAATGATATTGTCTGTACTTCTGATATATTATAAGTTATGGATTTATAATTTATTGGAGTAATTTTTTGTTTGCCATGAAATGAAATAAATTGCTGTAGAGCTAAATAAATCAACTCCTCTCTCCCTCCCTCCCTCCCTCCCTCCCTCTCTCTCTCAGGGGCAGTGGGATGGGCTGGTGGATGATTCATTTCTGGCTTTCTTTGTGCCAAAACATAGATCTTTCCTCTATATATTTTATTGAACAGCAATAACAAATACATATAGAAATGGGCAACTGTGCGTTAAGCTGAGGGGGATCTAAATCTAGGGAAAAACAATATAATCTCTTATCTAATCTAAACTGAATAAAAATAAATAATTAATAAAGCAACATAATAGATATAAAAGATTGGATACGTGAAACACAGAGTAGATGGCTTGGGCCTTAGGTCTTCCAACACTTTGTATTTTGTTTTGCTTTATATATATATATATATATATATCTGATCTGAGGTTGACACAGACACTTGGAGGAAGGATGTTAAACCAAGAGATATTGAGGATGCCATCAATCATGCAGCACCAGGAAAACTTAGGGTCATATCTGTTTCTGAGGTAATATGCAGTGTAAGCAATCTGCAATGTAAAGATAAAGTTCAGTTCATTATCATCTATGATTAACCCTTTTGTTTTTTGAAGAAAAATAAACTTGATCAATTTTATTAATCTTGTTTTGTTATTTTGAAAGTTGAATCTAATGATAACAAATGAAATTTACTTCAGGTATCGCGCATCTTTCATCCTAACTTCTCTGCAAAATGGAGGCATTACCTGTATATTTTTCCGCTCACTGATGGTGAGTACAGGGACCGAAGCAGTGGAGCTGGGTTCTGTGAGAATGTTGAATCTGATGATATTCATGATTCCACTGGCAAGGAATTTAAAAGTGAAAAGAAATCTTATGTTTTCAGTGTAAGAAAGGTGAATCAGCTTTTACGACAATTAGAAGGGAAGCTGTTATCCTACAAGATGTTTGCCCGTGACACAAAAGCTTCAAGAAATGAGTAAGGCTTAAATTATTGAATTGCTACCTCAACTGAAATGAAATAGCCAGTGTGCTGAAAGCTCATTTTTGTCACGTCCTCTCAAGTAACTTGTCAGCTTGTTTTCTTTACTTTCTCTTATTTTACCTGTTAGAAGCAGTGAAAATTAAATTATTTTATATAATCTTACTTTTTCAGGTCTGTCAATTCAATAATTTTAAATGGTGGCAAGTGGGGGAAATTTTAAAATTTTCATTTTTATAGCAACCCTTTCAGTGGAGTAATTGGGTTGTGTTTTAATGTAAAAAAATCCTGATTTAAAATTTTCATCTTGTAAGAGAGTAAATAGTCTCATTTTCAGATTCATTGTTAAAACAGATTAGGTTGTTAGAACATCAGGTCGATTCACTTTACACAATCTTGTTTTGGAAGTGTTAACTACTAGATAAACTCAGCAATAAGTATACATCTCCTAGATGATGATGACCCTGGGACACATATATGCAGACACACGTCCATTTGAGAAACATCCACAAAAACTTGAAACCCATGGCTACTAGTACTTGCATAGCTCCACCTGACCCGTCTTCCCCAGTAGACCTTACCCAACGCAAATATAAAGCCAACACTGTCCTCGATGAGCACTTTTTTGCCTTCATGTATTGGCATTCCCCTTTCAGCATTGTGGTCAGAACACTTCTGCTTGATGAACACTGAACAACTCTGGTGAATGCAACAAAGTTTGCCTGGGCGCGGTGAAGGATCAAGGATCCTGGCAACAATGAAGGAGCTGCTCAACTTGCAACTCTGTTGACCTTGCACCAGAAAAAATTGAATCCTTTGAGGAGAAAAATTCTGTTTGAAGAAGTTAGAGCAGCTGACGTGAAACAAGGAGGGTGACGGGGAAGAGAGAGAAAGAGAAAGGAGGGAAAGATAATCTAATCTTAAAAGATAAGATAATCTAAATTTATAGATCCTTAGGAAATATAAAAAAATAATAATTCAAATCCTAATCTAATCGTACAAGATAAGAAAGATAATCTAAATTTATTTAGATATCCTATTTTATTGAAAATTGAAAATAAATAAAACGAAATCAAAAATAATCCTAAAAAGATGATGCTAAGAAAATCCAATTAAATCCTAATTAATCTATGAGATATTTTGAATATCCTTATTTAAATCATCATAGTAAAATAATTATAAATATCTAAGATAATCTAATTTTATCTTATCCCATCACGTCTTCCTTGATTGAGGTACTCTCCTTCGGAGAGTTAAATTGGATGCACAAATTCGAGGGGTGGATGAGATGGAAATTCAGCTTGATGCTTAGATTTGGTAATCCTTTCTAACAAGTGAGATAGCAGAAAAGAAAGCCATTTGGGGAGTGAACAACTTGATCATGGAGAATTTCCTTTTAAGATTTCTGTTCCTTGTTTCTTTTAATTGAACTTAAAACTAACATGTTGGGAGTATTGCTGTACAAATATGTATGTTTGAACTGGTTCTTGGACTTGAATTGTTTAAATTATTCAAGCTTAATTAAATTGCCAATGTCTTGATTATTAATTACCAAACATTTCATCATAGCTGCCCCACGTGGATATTTCCTAGTATCTGATGAGAATTTCTTAGCGCATATTGATATTAACAATTTTCATTCTGTTTCAGTGGTCCACCAACAGAGTGCTTTCTTTTCCATGCTCGAGCCATGGAAACCAGATTATGTGCTACTGTAAGCTTCACTACTATTTTTAAAATTTGAACTTTTGTTTTTCTGCACGTTTTCTTTTCTACCCACCTGCAGCTGTTGTTGGCCTCTAATTTGAAAGAGTTTGTGACACAAAACCTCACAGGATTTTGCTTTACCACAAAAGCCTTTCTTGCATGGGACAATAATGAGCCTGCAAATACTGCTAGTTAATTTTGTTTGGGGGAATTTGTTTACTTGGAAAAGCAAGAAATAAACTACTTTTGCTAGAAATAGTGCAAAGGATGAATACCACCTAGTCACATTGTTGGACTTTTACTTGCATGATACATAGACAATCTCGTAATAGAGTGTAGGCGCCAAACAAGGGTGATCAGTCCACCCAGAATCATGACACTCCTTTAAGATTTCCTTTTGTAAGTTCCCTCAGATAGGCAGGAAGACTTAGCTGAAAATAGTATAGAACATTCTCTGTTTTCCAAAATCTTCAAGAGCTTCATCAAATTGCTTACTAGTTTATCTTGCCACACCTTTGATTCTATCAGGAGAATTGCTTTCGCTCATATTGGCTGTGAGGATGACAAATTCAGCCTTTCTACGTAGTATATCTACCACTTCATTTTCTTTTACCCTGCTTATATTCCTACTAGTAGTCAAATTCTGTTGGGAAGTTTTGCCATGGAGCCTGGTTCAGACTAGGTTTCTATATATTGAAGTGATTTGTAGAAACATTATCATGATTACGAACTTGTTTCCAAGTATTTAATGTTGTCAAGTGCATAAGCAATAGATGAGGGCAGTCATTACCTTCTCGCAGTGTATGGTGCCTTTCATTGTCATTAAGCTTGTGACTTTCATAGGCAATGGCATGTTCTTCATGCATCAACACGACACCCATAGCAAAATCTAGGCTTCAGTGTGCACCTTGAACAGCTTTGAGTAATCTGGCAACACCATGTGTGATGGCTGTTATAAGCTCTTTGAAGGAAGCTTGACATTTGCCCAATAATTATGCAGGGCATTCTACTAAGAAATGTTCTGGAAGGGAGAAGATTCCAGAATGGGCTACCAAGTTAAATTTAGGTCATTATGTGTCATGAAGAGCCATAAATAGTAATACTCCTCCCTTTTGTATATTCATGCTCTCAGGATGAGTAAAATTACTTTCAGATCCATATTATTTATGGCCAGCATCTTTCATTTGCATATTCTCTTCTCATTGCAAAGACATAGCAGATCTAAAGCTCTGGTTATTCCACGTCTACTTTTGCCGTTGTTCCTCAAAGGATGTTTCACTTGTGATAATTGCAGCTTCTAATATGTGCAGGTTCATGCAAAAGAGACAAGGGTTATGTGCGTTGAGTTGGTTGCTAATCGCTTTTTACGCAAGGTAGCTCTTCGTGTTTGCGCATTCTTTGGTGAAAATATCAATATATTTTTTCTTGTCTCTTCTCTGACAAAAGCAAAAGCAAAACAAGATTTGTTGGTATGGACATTAATAGCTAGCATCATTGTAGAAGATCTCCTTGCTGTAACTTTGATATTTACAAATAGATATGCTAACATGGCGGCAAGGCTTTATACAACAAATTTTTGCTTCATATAATAAATCAATTTGAAGGAGATAAAATAAAATGTTATGCTCTTGTTGGTCCTTCCTTTCTTTTTATCCTGGATTTCTATCAGCATTATTGATTCTTCGGGAACAATGTTGATAGCCTGCTGTATTCAGGCTCAGCTTTATACAACAAATTTTTGCTTCATTTACTGATAATTCAATTGTAAGGGCATAAATTAAAGCTATATGCTCCTCATGATCCTTTTCTTTTCTTTTCTATTTTGGGATTTCTACTGATAGTAGTGATTCATTGAGTTCAATGTCAATGGCTTGCTGTATTCATGATAAGATGCCTTTGCATACTTTTTCACTTGTTGATTGACTCGGTTGAGACTGACCATATTATGATAGATGGTTCGAGTGCTTGTAGCAACCTCAATAAGAGAAGCTGCTGCTGGTGCAGAAGATGACGCCTTATTGAAGCTTATGGAAGCCACATGCCGGCGTGCAACTGCTCCTCCAGCACCGCCTGATGGCTTATGTCTTGTTAATGTAGGATATGCAGAATTCGATCCGCAAAACTGCTTCATTCAGAAAGAGTGAGGTCCGCTTTAGAAGCTTAATAAATCTTATGTTTGTAAACAAGCCATATATTCTGATCTTCAAAACGTACTCCACAATACCATCTTCATAATTTTTAATCAAAATATATGTTTAATACTTTACTATGTTGATCAACTCTACCGTCCATGTTTCACTTGTTGAAATCCGTTGCAATGTTGCGTTGGTACAATAAAAATGTAGGGGTGGCAAAAAATATGGAGCATGACAGAATGTGATTGAGACTTTGCATCCCATACTATTGGGTCAATTGATGCAGACTTTATAGTATGGGATGTCAAGTCTTACATTAAGTAGTATGGGATGCTCAATGAGACATATAAGTGATTTTGTTCTCTCACTTCAACAGCTAACTTTCAGGGTAGGGTTCTTAGGTATGCATTAGAATGCTTGCCATTTATAGAGTTTGCGCCCAAAAAGGTTATGCATTCCACTGTTGAATCGCCCCGAGAATACAGGATTTGATTCCTTTGCCTGTTAATTGGAAGTAAAAAAAAGACTGATATGTGGGAGTGAATCCTTGAAAATGGCTGATCTATGTTCATATCAGTCGGTGGAGAAAACCATTGATGATGCTTTTATGTTGGATATCTCATGTGAACAAGTGTCTGGTACATTTAATGCTCTAAGCATCTTTCCCCTACTGATACAGGTGATAGTTCAATATTGAATCTTCCAGAGGATGGAAATGAAGAGAGTATTATGGTGAGGGACCATTGAAAGATCGTTTGCTTGTTGCAGGCGAACAAGAAACATGAGATTAAACTGATGCAAGGATCAGTTCGAGCTTGATAGGCCAAGAAATCCTGAGGGCAAGAGAATATGAAATTTTGTTTCATGTAATCCATGTTCAGTAGCATGTGGATTGGACTTTATTTTGACATTTGAGCCTTGTAATGTATTAGAAGTCATTTAGATTAATTTTGAATGGGCTGACCACTAATTTAATTTGAGACCATATGTTTAATTGTTTTTTTCTCTGTAACTTTTGAGAAACAATTAGGCTTTATTTATTTATTTATTTTCTAAAATGGATTGCTAACCTTACATGAACTCGAGGGGGAAAAATAAAAATTGATTCATGTTTTTCATTCCAAAGTAATCACTATAACGTTTCGTATTTTTATTGCACTAGGCATTTCTGAATCAAGTACTCTAGTAGTTTTACACAAGCCTGACCAAGTATGTCATACCCTTTGCAAACCCTTGTTTTCTATGACAAATAAAGTCCTGCTCAACACCAGTCCAGTATTTTTCATGTTATTTTCATGTGGAAATTGAGGCCATACCAAAAAAAAAAAAAAAAACAAGCAGGAGAATGAGGAGGAAGAAGGGGGATGTGGCAAATGCATTACAGATATTGCCATTCAGGTACTTCCTCATTGCTGTCCCTTGCCAACCAGCACATTGGCAGTCGGCAGACCTAGTTTGTCTTATGGTACCTCCCTCCTGCGCTTATATCAGTAGGTTTTTGTTTTGTTTTATTTTGTTTTAAAATTGGGAGAATTACATATAGATTCCGTATAAGAGAATTAATTATTACAAGGTAATATTATAATGGCCTTAGTTCAATTGTTAATAGATTTTGTAGTAATTAACTTTCTTATATGAGATTTTAACATAATTCTTCCTTTTAAATATACTTTTGTGTTATTTTTAAACTGACCAATCCATGTTTGTGGGATAAGTATCGAGAAAATGGTGCGACTCCTATGATTTCCTCTCGGAAAAGCCCTTCAATTGCGTGGAGGGCTATCATGTTGGTTTGGCCATCTTTTATTGAGGGAATTTATGGAAAAGTCAATGGGTTTGACCATTAAATTTTGATGGGATAAAAGGAATCACTTTGAGCAGCCCCTCATCTCTCTTGCAGACAAGAATTTGTATCAAATTGGCCATAATGTCAAAGTTAGTGACTTTGTAACGGGGATTGGTTGCTCTAAGATCAGAATGGAATAGATTCTTTCCTTCATGGCTTACCACCTCACTAAAACATTGTAACACTCCAACAAATCAAAGGGAAGGCGTTAGGTGCTGCAGAAATGGTTCTGATGGTTGTTCTCAGTCAAAGCTGCTTATAACTTTATCACTCAAATGGCTAACAATCAAGTTGACTCCCAGTGGAAGAAGGTTTGGAGTTGGAAGATCCCTGAGAAATTGAAATTATTTATGTGGCAAGTTAACCACGGGAGAATTGTTACTAACTCACTTAAAGCTAGGAGAGATTTATCTGATAATCCAAATTGACCTTGAGTGTCGTTGTGAGGAGAGCTTTATACACATTATGAGAGATTGTACAATAGCGAGAGATGTGTGGAAATCTATTATCAACACTAACTCTTATTATTCATTTTTCTCTAGTGATTTGCAGGTCTGGCTCCATTGGAATGCTTCACACCAGTTAAGGAGAGATAGTTGGACAAGATGGCAGTGAACCACGGTTTTTAGTCTTGTTTGCTGGCTCTTACGGAACCAGAGATACAAGCGAGTCCTTGACAACAAGGATCAATCCTCCTCTGACTTGAAGCATAATTGCCTATTCCTTATGTTGGAAGATGCTACCGGTATGAAGTGGAATCATAAAATTTTTTCCCCATGAGGTCTAGCCAAACCCTCAATGGTACCCACCTCCAGATGCTGTTAGAATTGATGTTGATGCTACCGGTATGAAGTGGAATCATAAAGTTTTTTCCTCATCAGGAATGGGAGTGGTGACTGGATAATGGGCTTTAGGAAAAACTTGGGATATCTGCCTTCTACTTTTGCTATCACAGCAAGATTGGAGGTTTGTGCCCAGATGAACTCAACCAGAGTACAACTTCACTCTGACTCTCTTGATGCTGTCAACCTTTTGATGCGTGACGCTGGTTGGGATCACCCACTGAAGGACACTATCTCTACTATTAGAGATTTAATATACTGTGTGGCCATGACATTCAGCTTTTATATTCACCTCGTGAAGCTGTTCGATGCGTAAACCTCTTAGCATGACAGGCACATGAATGTGCACGGGATTTGGAGTTACTACCTAACGTCCCTTTTGAATGCTTGAAATTGCTTCAGGAAGGACTTTGTTTTATCATTTTCTTTTTCTCAGGCTCCTTTGCCTGCGCTGTAATATTTAAAAAAGAAGGGAGACCAGGATGAAGGCACCAGAGGGAAAACCGAATCCCCCATCACCATATCTTCTGAAAGGACCAATCCCTACTCTTGCCACCTGCTTTATGCTTTAGCCTCACATCTGCAATAGCTATATCTTTCGAAGCAGCCTTACGCATCATGCACTGTTAAGCCAGCAATAGTAACTGCTGATATGAGTCAAAGTAGAAGTACTTTCACTTGTTTTTGGGTTATTTGGAGGACCATTACTCAGAGTACTGCCAAATCAAGTTGACCAAATACTGACTCCAATTAATGAAATGGTGCAAGAAATTTAAGGTCAACGACGACGTTGTCATAATCTCAAGAGGATGAGGTAAAGAAGAGTTGCGAATATCATGAATATCAACCAAAAAACAAAAATTAATCAAATTATGAAATTGAATTTTAGGATTATGGTTCTTTTTTGTAGTTTTAAGAAGGATTAATGAGCAAAATAGATTCTGAACTCTTACTCAAAAAGTATCTTCAATCCTGAACTCTTAAAATATGTAAAATAAACCCTTCATAGCAAATTAAATCCTATCGTCATCTTTTTTAATGACATTACTGTTCACCATGGGTCCCAGTTACATGCTGACATGTCATTGTTAATTAGCATCACAAAGCCTAACTATTATGTTAGCAGCATTTTGGATCCTGAACTTTAAAATTTTGAGCAAATTATCCCCATCATTTATGTATAGAACATTGATTATTATGTAAATCAAATTAGCCTCAGCGTAGTTCGCCGCAGTAAATGCATCGTTTGCCATGGCAAATAACTCATAATTTTGTGAAATGATGTTTTTTTACCTTTTTATGCAATGTTTCCCAAACATTGGTATCTCATGTTTTTGTATACTTTATAACTCTTATTGAGTCTTATTTTGAATAATATTTATTTATTTAATGGTGAAAACTTGAGATTTCATTTGAAAAAAGTTTAAACATTAAAGAATTTTAATCAATCAATTAATTTGAGTTTTAAATTTCTTGATGAAATTATCGACTTTCGTATTCATCGTCTGTAAAATCCTATAATATATAAACTTCTTTTCAAATAGGATCCTAAATTTTCATCATTAAATAAATAAAAATTATTTAAAATAAGACTAAATTAAAGTCTTATAGAGTATATGGAAGTATGTGATACTAATTATTTAGAAAACATTGTAAAAGAGGGCAAAAAAAAATCATTTTACAAAATTATGAATCGTTTGCCATGGCTAATAATATATTTACCATGGTCAACCATGATAAGGCTAATTTGGTCTACATAATAGTCAACGTTTTATACATTAATAGTAGGAGTAATTTGCTTAAAATTTTAAAGTTCAGGATCTAGAACGCTACTAACATAATAGTTTAGTGTCTGTAGTGTTAATTAACAATAACACGTTAGTATTTAAGTGGGGCCTATGGTGAACAGTAACGACGTTAAAAAAAGATAATGGTATGATTTAATTTGCTATGAATTTAAAAATTTAGAGTTTATTTTACACATTTTTAGAATTTAGGATTCAGGGTGTTTTTCGAGTAAGAGTTGATAGTTCATTTTGCTCATTAATCCTTTTAAGAATAATATTTTAATAAAATGGATGTTTAGTGACCAAGTCTACAAGTTTAGGAGTAACAAATTTTCCAACTCAAATAAAGTGATTTATAATTGTTTTCAACTAAATTTCCAACAAGTAATTTTAGCATTAACAAATTTTAAGTTGGTTAATTACAAGTATGGGAATAAAAAATTTTCAATTTAAAGAAAAATAAGTAGTTTTAGTGCCTTGTTATTCTTTTTTTAGTAGAAAGTGCTTTGTTGTATAAAGCTACCTAATTATTTTTTGTAGCTTTTATTTTAAACAAAAAAGAAAAGGTTACTACACGTACACAACTAAATTCCACTTTTGTAGGAGTGATGCCTTTGGTAATTAGTGAGATTTTTGCAATTTGATTTGCTCTCTGATAATATATTTCTCTTCCTTCTCTCTACTTTCTTCATCACTTCATCTCACCAGGGCTCATTAAATCAAGGAGATAAGTTGGTTTTATGTATGCTTCCATAATTTCCTTTTTAATCTCATAGAAGAAAAAGAATTAAGTTCCTCAAAGCATAACTTAAGAATGAGCACAAATAATATGAACGGACTGGCAAAGGTTTCCTCCTTCAGTTCGTCCTAAAAGATGGTGATTAGGTATATTTTGGATACTCCTTTAAAATCAATTATAGGGTTCAAAACTATGGTTTGGAAAAAATGCCATCCAAATATCCCCAGTTTTTTCCAAACTCTATGGGCCATTTGGATTTAGTTGAATATAATTGATTGTGAAAAAATTAATTAATATAATTAATTTTAGATATAATTAATTATATTATAACGTGATCATATTTGGATATTATTTTTCTAAAATTGATTTTGACATAATTGAAGATATTTGAATGATTTAGTTAGAATCAATTTTAGATATGCATATTACCATATACAACATTGCTTTTAAAAATTAAAATATTAATAAAGTTGTATATAATGTTGACAAATTTGTTCAACTTTATTTAACAAGTAAAATATACTCCTTATGTTAAAAAATGTAAGGCATTTTTAATTGATTCTCACCCCCAATAAAATAGCTACCTACTTTTCAACTAACCCTATCTTTTTATATTCACCGCTATTAAACACTTTACAATAAATATAAAGTCATTATCAATAGGGACACTTTTTAAAAAAAGGCAATGGTTATATCTCGAAAGACTAAAAATGTCTTGCATTGTTAAATATTTAACTTCTCAAAAAATGCCTTATATTTTTGAACGAAGGGAGTATTATTTAACTTATATTCCTAATTAATTAAAGAAATTTAAATTATATTATATTGTAATATTAATAATTTAATATATGTAAAAAATAAATTAATATATCCAAGTTCAAATAAATTTATATGATAGTCAACATATATGATTAATTATAAAAATTATATTTAAAAATCATATTAAAAATAGAAGAATCTTTTATAATTTCAGTAATTAATACTCCCTCCATTCAAAAATAGAAGACATTTTTTGAGAAGTTGGATGTTAAAAAATGTAAGGTATTTTTAGTCTTTTAAGATATAATCATTACATTTTTTTTAAAAGTGTTCCTATTGATAGTAAACTTATATTTATTATAGAGTGTTTAATATGAATAAATATAAAAAAAATACGATTAGTTTGAAAGTAGGTAATTACTTTATTGAGAGATGATATTTAATTAAAAATATTTTATATTTTTAAATGAAAGGAGTTTTATAATATAACATTTTATTTAAGAGGTGGGCCAAGACACTATATTGTTGCCAGAGGCTTAAGAATGAGAGCCTGATGGCAAAAACAACAGTAAGAGATGGAAGGAGGAAATGAGCTATGCACACATTCACAAGAGAGAAATTATTAAATGGTAGGAGGACGGGCCAAATGCATTGTGTGGATTTAGAGAGAAGTTAAAGTGGACGCGTATGTTTGGGTATATTTGGCCAGTGAAGATTCTCACACATAATAAATGAGGCTAACAGAAATAATCGAAAATCAGAAGCTACTCCATGCTGCTTAGCACAGAGCTGCGTTTTACGGTGGAAAATTGATTTTGAAAAATTAAAAGTGTTTGGATTCTTTTTATCAAAACTATGGTTTAGGGACACGTAATTGATTATAAATACCTATCCAAATAGGCACTAGTTCATGGAACTCCATTTTACAAAAGCTTAGCCAAACACTCTTAAATTTCACAAATTTTATTTGATTTCTAAAACCCCATTTTGCTTAAACTAATTTTTTCTCTATTTAGCAAATTGATTTTGCAAAATCAATTGTAAAACATAATCAATTTTTTTTTCAATTAAAATCAAAACACATCGCAGGTAAAGAATATAAAAACGGAAATACAACCTTACTTGTTCCAAGAAGCAAGTTAATTCATTTATTTCATACAAGTGTTCTCTATTCAAATTAACAATCAAAGAAAATGCATAATAATGACCTTCATTCATGTTTGAAAATTGTTCAAGAGGCAACTATTGATTATTGGTTTAAAGTACAAAAATACATAGAAACTTTTTTTCAAAAGCTTCTAGTATTTTTAAATTAACAATAATACATGGATACTCATTAGCTTTTAAAAAAGCCAATCTATCAAACCTGTTTATCCTTGAAACTTAAACGGTTAAATGGTCAATGTCATGTTATTTTAATAGATTGGGGAAGGCTGGCTTCTATTTTAAATTAATGAGTATCCATACACCATTGTTAACTTAAAAATACTAAAAGCTTTTAAAGAAAAAGTTTCTAGATATTTTTATTGCAATAATGCAAGTCAACTACATAAATCTACAACTTGAATGAGATTAAACGTTGATGTCATATACAGAAATTGATGCCACCTCCAAAGTCTTTGAAGACCATATCGAAAGTACTCTCACAATTCTGATGAACCCCAACTGTGATCATCATCAGAAAATTGGGAATTGCTTAAGCTTGGATCAAACATTGGTCTTGCCGGTTGATTTGGTCCCATGGGAAAGTTCCAGAAGGAATCAGAGTTCTTGTGAAATATGTAAAACAAGACAGCAGAAGCTAAGAAGAGCCCTACAAGCAGCAAATAGATCTGCCACTCTGCATGTTTCACCCAAAAAAAAAATAAAAAAAGGTCAAGTTGAAGATTTGTTACTGTGGACTGAGAAGGCAAGAACAGAGAGACAAAGAACCTTTCCAATCTGCAGGAACATTCAATTTAGTGACCTGCGCTCCCCATTCCATTGAGGTTGTGATCACAACTCTGTAGAGATAAAGTCAACCCAGATGAAAAGCAAACACAAACAGAAAACAATTACTAAAGGGCACTTGGTTTAACTGGTTGAAGAAGTTGAATTAATTTATCTTGGAGTCTTGAGTTTGAATCCTAAAATATGCAGTCATGTTAACAAATATTCCAAAGGCATCCCCAAGGTATCTGTGAGGCTGTCGTTAGTAATAATGATCCCACATTGCAGGGATTCGAATTAGTTTGGGCAAGAGGTGACAATACCACTTGTTTTTTCAGGATACCGAATGATGGAAATAAAAGGAAAAAAAAAAAAAGAGACAACAATTAGTGCATGAACTCTAAAAGATTTAACACTTCCTTACTTTGGATTAAGTTAAAATGTTAAATTCCTATTAAATTTCATAACTTGAAAGAAACTTCTTGCAAGTCCAATGTTCAGTGAAGCCGCACATTGCCGTCACACTCACAATTCTCCGGCACGGGGGAGGGGTTCATTAATTGTAGTGTTACATAGATATGAATGAAATACGACAGACCTTGACTTAAAAGGCTTAAGAATCGTTAATTTTTGACATGATATTAACACCTATTTGAACAAGCACACAAGCTTGAATCCCGTAAAGTTCATGAAAGATGTGATGTCAGCGATGGAAGAAAGACCTTTTGCAAATACAAGGATATAGCTATCTTGCATAATCCTTATACGGATTCCAGAGGATAGAAAAACAACTGAAACTCGAAAAGTTTTGGTTATTAGTCGGTACTTTAACAAAAGATCAGCAGTATAAAAATCCATTTCAGTCAATAAAGACACTTTTCACGGTAATTATGACATTTGTTGAATGTTGATTTTTTGTTTTTTTTTTTTGTTTTTTTGGTTTTTTGGGAACCATACAAAATAGATGCTAAGATTGTCTTTCTATATTGAAGCTTGCCAAAGGAAATTGGCAAGGTTCATTGAGATGATATTCTGGGAGTAGGGACAGGACTTCTGGTGTAAAATTGAACAGAATTCATCCATAGGATGAAGCAGACTTCTATATGGTATATAAAAAGTTTAGCCGTGACTCCATTATTTCAATATATCTATCTTTTCCTCTTTATTTTTTGCCATACGTTAGTGTCCAAGTTGCAAATGATTAAAAGAGAAAAACATAGTACAAATAAGGAAAAACTACATTTTGCAAACTACAGCTTAATTACAGATGAAAAGCCTCAGGCATTTTTGGAGGAAGAAAAGTTTGAAATTTATATGAAGAAAAGAAAAGAGAGGTAGAGCAAAAAATAAGAAAAATGTGTAGTCCAAAGAAAGAACAGAGTAAAGAAAGAGTACATAGTTAATTTTATTACAGATGACCATAGAGTTCGTTCATATTATTGGTTCTAGCTGGCTGGAAAGGGTTTAAAGTTGAATTAAAAGACATAGACATTCAGGAAAACTGATTCTTAAATGTTGTGAAATGGAAAATCAATTAACTCTTACAATAGAATCACACCATCTCAAATCACTCTGCTCCATTTCTAGTAGTCTTTTCCCTGATGCTCAGGCCCCTACTAAAACTTGCTTGTGTACTAATTATTTGCTTTCATGATCTTCACTAAAAAAGTCAATTGACTAGATTTAGGTACAGTTTTGAAGTGTTTGCTTTAAGATTCTATGATCAAACAAGGAGTACTTTTATGATTTAGTACTACATGATTAAGTGCTCTAGAAAAAGTTCCCTACGTATGTTGTCTTGAAGGAAGTTTGATAGAAGACAATTATAGAAATTTGCATATTCTAGTTCTTGACCAAGAGTCTGCTGGAAATTTCAAGAACTTACCTTTCTCTAGGACAGAACTCAAGAGTTGCAAGGCATGTACCCAGGTGCAGTCTCTTGCTATAATGGCGCACCTCCATTTTCTTTACTTCCGTTACAGACATGTCTCCGTCTTTGCTCCCCCTAAAAATTTATCAAAGTCTGATAAGCTGAAATGAATAATATTTGAATGACTAATGTGGTGTTTAAATGACGTGAAAATAACATCACAAGATTGTTGACCAACAAAAGTGTAGAAATATTATGGTTGATGTATCAGTAGACTCATGTAATATGCGTGTTAAAGTGCGCTACAGTTTATTCAACACAAGCCATTTAGTTCAATCTTCTTTTTCACTTTTCAGTTTCTTTGCATTTAATTTCCACTTCCACGGGTAGAATCACTGGTAAAACTATGTTCAAAGAATAGATTTCTAGGTCAATATTTCTCCCAGGGCATAAGCATGGCAACTCAGGATATTACCTTTCTTATAATCAAAACGGATGGAAATTCTGTTTCATACTTTCACAGTGGAATGAAGCATCAAATTAATCACATGTAAAAATGTTGAAGCAAAGCCCAAATGGTATGGCCTGCTGATATTTATTGTCTGCAGACAGGCGTATCAAATTTATATGTGCATGTGCCATTATTGTTAGACTATCTTAGCAACATGCACATTGTAATTATTGATCTATGTGCATCAGCAGACTTGCGCTTTACATTTGATAAGGGAGGGAGCATGTAACTACCTCAAACACACACACACACACACATCAATTTTTCGTGCAACAAAGAATCAAGCCTAGCTTGGCATTTACAATTACCATAATGTCAATTTCTTCTAAATTCAATGTGCTTGTATATGATAGTCAGAAAACAATGGATAAATGCCAGAGAAGAAACAGTAAGTTCTTACAGAGCAAGGTATTTGCCATCATGGCTGATGGACATTACTGTAGCAGGCTTTTTAAGCAGCCTCTTATGCCCAATTTTATTCCACGTGCTTATGTCCCAAACTGCAGTGACAGCCTTCTCACCTGTTTGATATTTTGTGTCAAAATGGAAATACTTTAATTCTCAAAAGAGATTGCAAATGTATCATATAATATACCCAATTGGCCAAATCAAGAGTATTCATGTACCCTTTTGGACAGTGCAAAATAAAAATGGTCTGGCTCCATCTTTAGAAAATCGACAAAGTTCAATCTTTTCATCCTACAAAGGAAAAATGACAAATCTTGGTTCATAACTTCATGTGATACAAGTAAATATAAACCAACATTGCCATAGCCCACAGGTTACTGAATAAAAATTACTATACCGAATTGCGGGACAATGTAGTCAAAGGACTGCCATCTTCAGTCTTCCAGATCCTTGCTAAACCATCCATAGATGTTGAAGCCAGAAATTCCGAGTCTAGGCTAGAGAATCACAGCAGATGAATGATGAAATATTTAATCATACTATCAACAAAGTTCGAATCTCTTCATTTCAATCCAACCACATAAATCAAGAACTTCAAGGAATTTTCCATACAGCAGGCAAAATGATGTGCGTGTACAATCAATTAATATATCAATAATTTTTATGATGAAGTGCTAAGAATACTATTTCGTCAGTTTAGTCAAAGAAATACAGTAGAGAAGAGAACAATATTGGATGCTTTAGTGAGCAAACTGAACATTTCTTTTGCAATGTCATCTCAGACTCAGGCTGAACCCACATTAATGAGCATGCTATTATCTCCCAAGGCACATATATTAATATATAGGCAAAAATATACTTTTGATTCCTACTTTATAGAAGGTTTTAGTTTGGTCCCTCAATTTTATAAAATATATTTTCAGTTCTCTAATCTTAACACTGTTAGTTTCACTAATATGACCATCCTTTAAATGTCTGACAAAAACCATATTATTAGTTGTTTCATGTTCATATAGCAAATCTAATGCCTACATGGATTAATGCATGTTACAAAGGATAATCCAAATAGGTTTGGTCCTCATTCCAACCTAAAATCGATATCCCGAACAGATTTGTGTGCTCTTGGTTCATCCATAACCACATGCAGGCTGGGCCACTCCAAAATCCTGAGATGCCCCTCCTGTACTTGTTAAAGCCAGAAATCAAACACACAAGATAAATTTCTGGAGAAGAAAATCACCAACTCCAGGACAAAACTAAATTAAATAATTGAAGCTTGATTCTTACCAACCCTCCAGCAGCAAATTTAGATCCATCGACATTAAATGTAATGCATTTTTGTTGACCAACATCCTTCAGAGGGGGTAACTCTTTCGTTAAGAGCTTCATACTAGTTTCATGACCATATAGCTCAAACAATCTGCAAACCATAACATATTTAAGGGAAGACACAACTCAAGAAAATATCATGTCATACTTACAAAACAAGCGACTTGGATCCTCTCTATTTCTAAGAAACTTGACCACGTCAATTTTTCTTTTGCGTGTGTGTGTGTGTGTGTATGCAATGTCTAAGGGGGCACACAAATACTGTAAGGTCCATTTAAGTAGGTCCCGCACATTTCAAAAATAACAATATCAGTTTTCCGGGAAATTGAAAGGATCCCAAACAAACAATGACAAGAAAACTGTTAGATCCAACTCAGTAAAGCTGAGTCTATGCCACTGATTATAATTAGCGTACAAGGCCCTTAAAGTATCTTAGAAAACTTTAAATAATTCAAGCAAGTGATGGAAGAACTTTATACAATCCTTATGAAATTTCTTACATTGTCCCAATAAGTAAAGAAAGAACAAGAACAATGATGGACTCTTGAAATTACTGTATCAGCATATTTAAATGAAACATAACAAAAGTACAAGCAACTGTTAATTGGTGAACCTTGCAAAAATGAGGTAAATGATGGAACAAATGATGTCTTTTTCAAAGGAATATTTAGATTTCAAAACAAACTTTTGAATCCAAAGTGCTTAAGATTTAAAGACAGAAGCTCACTTGCAGCTACCATTAGTGAAGGAACACACGAAATCATCTCTTCTTGGGTGCACTGCAATAGCAATAGGATTTCCTTCCTCTTCTACAGAAAGAGTGACCTGAAAATAAAGATCAAACAAAAAGTTTAGAATCAAAGTCCGGTCCGAATGGTAGCTCCATTCAGTAACCCAATCGGCAAGCACAAATACAGTAACATATTTCCTACATCACTCTACTATATATTATAGTCACTGTTCAAATGCATATGGATGGATAGGGTGGTGGGATCTAGCAATTTTTTTTCAAAAAGAAAACAGTAAATAGGATACGTAGCCCATTTAATACATAACTGGCAATAGCAACGATTTTTTTTTCCCCAAATACATATTTGGTCTTAAATCTTAAATTTCATTTTTATCGCTTAACTTCATTTAATTTTGATCTAATCACTAATTTTTTTTTTAAATTCATTTTCATCCTTTCACTTTATTTGGATTTAATTTAGTCTATCAACTTTACATTAAGTTATACTTTCATCCTTACTTTTATTTAACAGCGATCTATTTTTATTTTATTTTCAGATCATGTAGAGTTTTTAGTTAATCCATCCGTTCAAAAATATAACACATTTTTTAAGGAGTTAAATATTAAAAAATTTAAGGTATTTTTAATCTTTCAAAGTGTAATCATTACTTTTTTTCAAAAGTGCCCCTATTAATAATGACTTTATATTTATTTTATGGTATTTAATAGGGATAAATATAAAAGATAAGATTAGTTGAAAAGTAGATAACTACTTTATTGGAGGGTGGGATTCAATTAAAAATACCTTACATTTTTGAACGGAGGGAATATGTATTTTAATTTAATAATGTTAAAGAAAAAATATTCAAGAATTTTTTTTAAAAAAGTAATAATTAGAACGGGAGACAATGAAGAAACAAAATAAAAAAAGAGGTAAAATTAGGAGACTAAATTAAAACCAAATGAAGTTACAGTACAAAAGTGAAATTCAAAATAAAATTAAATCATCAAATTGAAACTAAATAAAGTTTAGGGATGAAGTTGAAATCAAAAGTTAAAGGACCAGATTATTCTTTTTTTTTTAAAAAAGAACTGAAGTCAATGGATAAATTTGAAACTATAACTAAAATTAACACCCACAAGAAACATTCTTGCCTGATTTATATTGGGCATCTAATATCGGACATTCCGTCTGCATAATAAGTTGCTATAAATTTGGATGAAAATCATAATGTTAAAGAAAAAATATTCAAGTATTTTTGTTAAAAAACAAAAAAGTAACAATGAAGAAACAAAATAAAAATGAGGTAAAATTAGGAGACTAACTTGAAATCAAATGTAAGTTACATGGCAAAAGTAAATTTTTTTTTTTTTTTGGGGGGGGGGGGTGAACTAAAAGGACAAACGTGAAACAGATATTTTCCTTTTGGGCAATTCAGGGACTAAATGATAAGTAACGATACATACGAGAATAAATTAGAACTTAAAAGAGATCAAAATGAAGCTTTCCTCCTTCCTCTGCTTCAAAAACCCAATACTCTTTCTATATCTCCCTCAGAGTAACAGTATCTTGTTGAAAAATCAAAAATAAAAATGACAAAAATTATACAAACCAAGCTTCAAATGAAGCGTATATCAGAAATCAAATCTCTCATTCTATGCATGAAATCAACCATAATAAAAAACCGAGCTCGAGAGTCAAGAATAGCGACTGAAGAACTGAGAGTTAATTTAAGAGAATTAAAGAGAAAGTACCAAAGCGGAGGTCGATAGAGAATAGGTTTTGGCGTCGAAGGAGAAAATCTCGAGCGAAGAAGGGCAAGAATCGCAATGCCTCGACCTTCCCAAGACGACTAGATTGATATTTTCGGGTCGTCGGATCCACGACCCACATGTCACCGGACCCTGATGCGATCCACAACGGTTTTCCTTCTCCATTCAAATCAAACACACTTTGCTTCTTTCCTTTTTGCTAAATGCGAGTTAACAGATTGGGTTGGAGAGATGAGTGAATTCCAAGATATAGGAAGCTAAGCGGAAAATCTCATGAACACAAAGTCAAACAGTAACGAGGCAATTGCATTGCGGAACATGACAGCGGGATCATGAAGCATACGTCGGCTTCGTTAGCCTGCTGTTATTGTTATTGTTTTTTTTTTTTTTAAGTTAATTTTTATTAATTTATCAACCAAGCATGCCACGTTACTAAATAATTATTGTCAATAATTAAATGGAAAATTTCCTCCTAATTTATTGATGCACAAAATATATGGGACTCTAAACTTTTTTCTATGGCTGAACATTTTGAAAACTGCATAATTATTAAGGATAAATTGATTCATTGGCTGAAAAAAAATGTTATACTCAAAAAATATGGAATAAATTTTTAAAAATTTAAAAGTGTGGTTAGTTCACATTAATATATAAAAAATATATTATTAAAATTTAAAAATTTATAAAAAATTTATTATTAATATACAACAGTATATTATTGACAAATATAATAAATCGGTGATAATGTAAAATATAATTAAGTTGTTTATTTGATTTGGTTTTATAATATTGACTATATATGCAAAAGCCACTTATTATTAACTCTAATATTAATAACATTAATTTTGACCTTTAATTAACAAAAAAATTAATACAAAAGATTTTAAAAATTATTGAAAAAGACAAGAAAATTTTCTTGATATTTTTTGTAATTTTTTTGACCATTGTCTGTAATTTTATGTCCTTTTGTATAATTTTCTTATATTTTTATATATTTTGTAAAAAACTAGATATTAAAATTAATTAACAGGAAGGGCTACATTGCATTATTTTTAAGAGTTAAAGAGAAATATTATACTAAAAATTAATTTAAAAGGTTTTAGATACTCTTGAATCTATAGTTTAAGAGTTAAAATATCATTTAATCCTATTATTAATTATGAATTACACCTAACAGTTCAGTTTAAATTTTACATATGGATATATAAAAAATTTACTTATTACTGTTACTAGTACTATTTCAAAATATTATTATTCAAAATATTTAAAATTCTAATTATTAATATATAATTTATAAATTTTATTTCAACATCATGAAAACAGACTTTCTATTTTAAACCTTATGTTAATTTAATTTACTGTATGATTTTCTTTTAATACTATATAACATACACAAAGTCTGTTATTTTAGTCAAATGTAATATAATATTTATTAAAAGCTATAAACAATGAAACTATTTTTAGAATTAATAAAAAAAGATTATCTCTGTGAATAAAAATGTATTCCTTATTGCATTGAAGGTGATTATTTTCTTTTTTCAAAAGTCATTATCTATCATGTAAATGACCTTTTGTGAAGAAGAAATTTAGCTGTCAACTTTTTTTTTTTTGCCAACGAAATTTAGCTGTGCCTATGACTGCAGGCTAGTGAATGTTTTTTTTTTTATTTTTATCATATATATTATTGGCCAAAAGAAATCGACTTTGTTTAATAGAACTTTGTCAAATACGTAATGATGAGAGCAACACCAAATGTAAGGTATCTTCGAATATTCTTTAAAAGATTATGCGACAGAAACAAGTTGTAATGCTTAATGAGTTTTTAAAAATTTAAAAATTATTTAAAAAAATTATTCACAAACAAAAAGTATTACAGAATAAATTGTTGTTAAAAAATATAATTTATTTTTTTAAATAAAACTTATTGTTAGTTATTATTTATGAATAATTTACGTAAATGGTCCTTAATTGTAATTTTTCCTTTTCAAAACAATCAAATATAAAATATATGTGCCTTAAACAATAAACAAGGTAATTAATTTCTTTCATTTGAACTCGCTCCATATTATTGAAATAAAATTTGAATTCAAGACCTCAATATATAAACTGATTTAGTTGCTATAAGTGTCCCTTAGTAAATGATAGTTGTTTCTAACCATTTAGTCTATGTGATTTAGATTTTAATTATTAAGTTTGGCCCTATAATATATTTTTTGGATAAATCAACTCCCATAATTACACTCAGATTGAATGTTATGGACTCATAGTACTTAACAATGTGTAACAAGACATAACATAGCGACTTAGTTATTGACTCTCTCAAGTTATTTAAAAGTCTAATTATTAATATATAATTTATAAATTTTATTTCAACATCATGGAAACTGACTTTCTATTTTAAACCTTATGATAATTTAATTTACTGTATCATTTTCTTTTAATACTATATAAAATACACAAAGTCTGTTATTTTAGTCAAATGTAATATAATATTTATTAAAAACTATAAACAATGAAACTATTTTTAGAATTAACAAGAAAGATTATCTTTGTGAATAAAAATGTATTCCTCATTGCATTGAAGGTGATTATTATTATTTTTTTAAAAAGTCGTTATCTATTATGTAAATGGCCTTTTGTGAGGAAGAAATTTAGCTGTGCCTATGACTGCAGGCTAGTGAATGTTTTTTTTTAATATTTTTATCATATATATTATTGGCCAAAAGAAATCGACTTTGTTTGATAGAACTTTGTCAAATACGTAATGATGAGAGCAACACCAATGTAAGGTATCTTCGAATATTCTTTAAAAGATTATGCGACAGAAACAAGTTGTAATGCTTAATGGGTTTTTAAAAATTTAAAAATTATTTAAAAAAATTATTCACAAATAAAAAATATTACAGAATAAATTGTTGTTAAAAAATATAATTTATTTTTTTAAATAAAACTTGTTGTTAGTTATTATTTATAACTAATTTATGTGAGAGGTCCTTAATTATAATTTTTCCTTTTCAAAACAACCAAATATGAAATATATGTGCTTTAAACAATAAACAAGGTAATTAATTTTCTTCATTTGAACTCGCTCCATATTATAGAAATGAAAGTTGAATTTGAATTCAAAACCTCAATATATAAACTGATTCAACTATTTCAGCCAGTTGATATAAGTGTCCCTTAGTAAATGATAGTTGTTTCTAACCATTTAGTCTATGTGATTTAGATTTTAATTATTAAGTTTGGCCCCACAATTTATTTTTTTGGATAAATCAACTCCCATAATTACACTTAGATTGAATGTTGTGGACTCATAGTACTTAACAATGTGTAACAAGACATAACATAGCAACTTAGTTATTGACTCTCTCAAATTATAACATAGCACTTGTCAACTTGATGTTAAGCCATTAATGTATAATAAGATAATTATGTGTTTGCTTATAGGTCAAAATTCTAATATTTTGTATCATAATAACTAAAACTCATGTTGGAAGAGTGGTTAGAATTATCCCTTCTTCTCAAGAGGCTAAAGGTTCAAATTCTAGATGGGGAATGACTTATTAAATTTTAGCTATTTATATTTTTGCAATAATTCTTAAACATCGCCTATATTTCTGTGATAAGCAAAAAAACAAAAAATAAAGAACCCATTGCCCATTCTTACCAAGAAGTTAAATTTGTTGCCTATTTCAGCACCCTAAAACCATTGCCTATTGCCTTCTCAGAAGCAACAGTTTTATGATCTAGTTATAAAATATGGGAAAAAAAAAAACCATGACCTTAAACTATAGCTAACAATGACAAGTTCTATGGGAAAAAAAAGAAATTATTGCCTATACTTATAAGTAACGGTTTGCATGTCATAATGGCTTTTGGGTTATGAGGAAGGAGATCGATTTTGGTGAAATTGAGAGAATGCAAAGATTGGTTTTGGGTTCTAGCGCTCTGTGTGTTCTTCATAGGATCCGTTTAGATTTCAGTTGGGTATAATAGATTATGAAAATAATTAATTAAGTGATAGATTTTAATTGTAATTGATTATGTTATAATGCAATCTGTTTTGATATTATTTTTTTAAAATTAATTTTAATAGAATTGAAAATATTTGGATAATTTAATCAGAATCAATATTAGCTATATAAATTATTATATAATTTAATTCTTAAATATCAAACATTAATTTTTTGAGGATACAAAATTTGAATTTTATTAAGGAAAAAAAAAGAGGAGAGAAGAGAGTTTAATTTTATTTTTATTAAATTATGTGGTTTATTTGTAATTTTTTTATGGGCTTTCTTTTGTTTTTCTCCAATATTTTTTGATAAAATTTTGGCAAAGCTAATTCCATCAGCTTATGGGAAAACGTGCGTAATTTGTCAGAATTGATTTATGTGCCTTTTGGACCGATTGGGTAATTTGCTAAAAAAGTCGATTTTGGAGGGGGAAAATCAATTTTTTCCCTCATCCAAACACACGGATAAACTTATGAAAATGAGAAGATGGGGTTTAATTTTAAAGAGTTATATAGAACAGTTCCAAATAAAAATTGTCCTATATTTAATAACATGGAAGAAGGTTCTTAGTACAATCGTTCTCTATATGTTAATATTTAAAAAAATTATTTTTTTAAAATAATAGAAACATATTTAGGACGCTTCCAAAAGGAACTGTCCCATTACTAATATATAAGATGATTGTATCAGCAACCTTCCTATATGTCAGCCTTTTTATATAAGATGGTTGTGCATACAACCATCATATATTGTCAATTTTGTAGTAGTATATCAATAGTAGAATCAATTATCAATTTTTAATTATCAACTATCAAAGATATATATATCTATATGTATTGTAATACGAATTTCATTGCTTGATTAGGCTCCTCTCACATTCGTTTTTTTTCTTTTCTTTTTTCTTAAAAAATTATATTAACATTCTTTAACACATATATACCTTATTGAGGTGGCAGGTTTAAAAAATAAATTGGAATTTCCTTTTTTTTTTTTTGACATAGAACACTTATGTAGATAGAATAATTTGAACCTTTAGGGTTGTCAAAAATGAAAAAATGGGTTGTGTATCATAGTAACTAGATACAGATAAGGAGGCATAGAATACATATGGTGAGCTACAATAATCATTAAAGAGCCTAACATAACTAGGTTAATAAATAATTAAGCATGTCATGACTTTGTTAGGATCTCATATAGGCCTCCCTTCAACCCTTTGAGAGCCACTATTATGATTGAAAAGATTTGAAATCACGCAACGAACTGTTATAATATATACTCTCTTGGGTATAAAATATAAGTATTTAATCTCCTAATTAATTT